GGGAGTCCGGGTACGCGGCGGTGCTGTCTCTGTCTCCCCTCGCCACCACCGGCAGCTCCTGGGTGCCGCCGCCGCTTGTTTCCCGGGGGGCTCCCTGTCCCTATCAGCGACCCCCGCCGCCGAGCCGTCCCGTGGGGAGGGGAGGGGACGGTCAGGGGGGCCGCGGCGGCAGCAGGGCCGGGGTTGTAAGCTTCGCTCTAAACGCGATACAGACGTTCGTGGCCTTGGGTCCCGCCGTGCAGGACGATGCTTTAAAGGCAAAGAGTGATGGTCGGTTCAGGGCTGATGTCTGAGAGAACCTTCCACCTGCTGGTGTCACAGCGCGCTCCTCGGAGTTAGGGGAAGGAGATAAACTGGCGACATTCTTTTTCCTACTTGTTTGCATGCTGCTTTGAAAGCAAGTTCCTCTTAATCGGGGTCTTTGTTGTAGGGAGATCCAGGTGCTGCAGCATGTAAGTATGTTCCTAACTGGGTATATGCGAGCACCCTGGTTGAAGCTGGCATTATCACATGCTGATGTATTTGCTTGTTCATTTTTAAAATTTTTTTAATATTTGAGTTTGGGATTTTTCTGCATCACAGCACTGGGATGTTTACGTTTGTGTAGGAGGGACGTGGCTGGCTCTGAAGTGTAGTACACCTGGTGTTACGGCGTTAAGGTATATCGCACTTTTTTGGAAGACTTGGGGAAGCTCTGTTCAGGGGTCGTATGCCAGATGCATGTGCCCTCTTTGCTAATTTATTCTGTCAAACAAAAATACAACTAGGATTTTTTTGTGCGTGGGAGTGTATGTCATCCTGGAATGTGCTATGCTACTTTCTTGCCAGAAAGTTGTTCATCTACTCTAAAGTGGTTTTGTGTGCTGATGGATTTTTGTTTGCTGGAAGATTTTTCCCATCACCACCACAATACCTTTTTTGTTTTCACATATGCATCCACAGTCAGATATTTCATATGAACGATTGTTTTCATGGTGGTGTCGCTGAGACCTGAGAAATTCCATCAATTTACTCTAACACTAGCATTCTGCAAACTGTTGCAGGGCTTTAAACAAGTTTAATTTGAACAGTCTGCTTAGTAGAGCTTTGATTTGTTGTTGATTTGAGAGACAACTGGCATCCAAAGCAAGCCACACATTTCATATTTCATACATCTTAAAACCAAGGCTTTTCTTATAATGTCTTTTTTTCCCTCCCAAATAGTATTTTGAGCACATGTTATCTGATGTTTGTTTTAGTTCTTTAATATTGTCAGCGTATGTCATCTCACTGTTGCCCTGCTTAGGGTACCTCATTTGATGCTGCCTGGGAATCTACAGGTTGTACTAAAAGTTATCTCCGTTGAAAAGACAAGCAAGTAGTTCTTCCCTGCTTCCCCCCACCTCTAAATCAATATAGTAATAAATTCTGTATTTGTTCATCACTTCGCATCCTGTGTTCTTCCCTGATACTTGGATTTCACTGCGGGCTAGCACTGCAAAGTGAGGACAGCCTCAGTACTGGGCGATCTAAATATAAGCTATAGAAATAGAAAGGATTTTTACTGTGGACAAAATAAATCTTGGGGTTTTTTGTTCCCTCCCCCCCCTTTTTTTTTTCCCCTTTTCTTTTTTCCATCCCCATGTAGAGGAAGTCTGGAAGGGAAAAGAGAACAGAAGAGTTACAAAGCTCTCTTAGAAGATCCAATGCTGAAGTTCTCAGGACTCTATCAAGAAACTTGCTCTGACTTGTATGTAACTTGTCAGGTGTTCGCAGAAGGGAAGCCTCTTGCTCTTCCAGTCAGAACTTCCTACAAAGCTTTTAGCACTAGATGGAAGTAAGTGACTGCCTTTTATTTCTCATTCCTCTTAGTCACCGGGGCATCGAGTTATATAAATAAATCTATGGGGTTTTTATTTGTGTCAAAAAGATTTGTTTTCTATATCTTCTTCCAATAAGTTGTGTTTCTTCAAGTCTCTGTGTGGTTATTAAATATTGCTCTGATATCGCAAAACCAACCTTTTTGTGTAATGAGTAAGTAATAAAATTGTTACTTCTGTGTTTGGGCTCGGCTTATTACTTAAATAACTTCTGGGGCCTGAACTGGCACACTTTTGTAATGTTTACTGGACAGGCTGATCTTTGGTACTTTGTCATCTAGCTAGAGTATTTTTCGTTTGGTCTCTAGCCTTTTAATCATGCTCAAGACAAGTATGTGAATGGGTAAAGTGCAGAGGAAAATAGTCCATAGGCCCTTAGAAATTCATATTCTAAGGAGTATCTGTGTTGTATAAACTAATACAGATAACTTGAATTCTAAAGCTTTTTGACTAACAAAAAGTGTTTCTCTGCAGCTGGAATGAATGGCTGAAGCTGCCTGTGAAGTATCCAGACTTGCCTCGCAATGCACAAGTGGCTCTGACCATCTGGGATGTATATGGACCTGGTAAAGCAGTTCCTGTGGGAGGAACAACGGTCTCGCTCTTCGGGAAATACGGGTATACTGCTTTTTCTTCTACGGTGTAGATTTGAAGATCACTTGTAAGTAGTAAGGTAGCAGTGGTTGGGAGAAGTGGGTGGTTTTAAATTTTTTAAACCACATTGATAGTTCCATGTTTGAAATATCAGATACATAGATGATTTATTCTATTTCTTCCTGAGTGTAACTTAGTACATGCTACAGTGTTGTTAAAAAAAAAAAAGTCTTCTCTTGTATAACACCAAAACAAGCCTTTTTTTATTTAGATCTGTAAGTTTGGATTTTAAGGTAGCAAATGCTGAAATCAGTTCATATTTATACTTTTATATTACGTGGATGCCAGTACTTATTACTTAATGTAATTGATTTAATTGACTTGCAGTTGGGCTATTAATGTAGTATTATTTATAAGGAATGAAGTGTAAGTCTGTAAATCGGGAGTTTTCAAAATTAATAACCTGATCCAGTGCAGGCTGCTTCAGTAAATTTCTGGATGGTAACACTAAGCTGGGAAGGGTTACAGGTGTGCTTGAAAGTAACGATACATCAAAAGGATCTTCACTAAGTGCAAAAGGGACTGAAAAAAAAGTAGGATGCAGGCAAAGTATGAGGCACTGGTACTTTTTGCAGTTTACTGTAGTCAAATACAGAATGGGGAGCAGCTGCCTGGGAAAACAGAGGGAAAGATGTGGGTTTTAGAGTGAATCTTAAGTTTTTATGATTCAGCATCATGATGCTCTTGTGACATGTGCAAACAACATTGAATGTATGAGCAGTTTGCACGTTGTGTGTCACGGACAGTGTTGTATCCTCTTCCTCTGTACTCGTCCATTTGGCTGGGTTATGTTCAGTTCTATACAACTGACTTTAAGCAAATTGCTGACTACTGGGGGTCTAAGGGAGTCCATATCATTGATTGTCTAGCAAATAGGTGTGATGAAGGGGGAGGAAAGACTAGTGAGGCTGAAGAAAGGACTATAGGAACACTTTTCTAGTATGTAGGTGGTGTTGGAAAATGGGGAGAAGTTTTTTGTCTTGTCAGTGGGTAAGAAGTAATAAGGCTAAACTGAAGTGCAGGAAAAGCTGTTCTAGTGATACTTGAATGCAAAAAAGGTAGAGGTGGTATTTCTGTCATTGGAAATAGTGCTTTGACAAAAAGATTGACATTGTCTTAGGGCAGAAAATTGAATGGATCGATTGGACTGTGTCCCAAAGGCTGCTGGTAGTTTTTAAAGCATTATAGTCCCTGGAGAAAGACACCATTTATAAACGAAATTTACTTCCACCATATGAGGTCTGGGGGAAGTAGATGGACAGAAAGCGACAAATAACTTGGAAATTTTGTATTTGATTGTAAATGGAAGCACTTGTAGTAGTATTCCACAAAGTGATGTGTAGATTCAAAGTCAGATGGTACTTCTAGTCAGTATTTCTCATTTTTAATGGTTGACTTTTTAAAACATTCCTTCCGGTTGTATTTACCTGAAGTTATTAGAGTTAAGTGATCACCTCTTATTGGCAAAAGTAATGCACTTGATTTCTTGCTGCGTCTTTTATAGGTGGATCAGCACAAATACACAAGGGAAGCAGAGAAAAGGTGTGGTCAGTTGCCCTGCGAAGTTCTGTTCACAGTTTCAGTTGTCAGTTCAATTTCAGGCATTGATGGAGCAAATGGTGTGTTGAGGGTTGTGGGTTTTTTTTTTTATTTGGCAGCTCAGAAGACTGCTTTTTATCAGTCAGCTTTCAGATGAAACTTAGTTGTTTAGTTGAATTTTTTTCAGACTGGCAGACCTAGTCAGTATTATAATTTGCAAGTCAAGAGGAATACTTTCTGCTTTACTACAAGTAATGAAACTATGAAGGTCAAGCTCTGTCCTCAGTTTGCTTTTGTACCACCTCACTTACTTTGGGAATTACCCATTTTCTTTCACTTGCCAAATAACTTATCTCAGACTTACTCATTTTCCTCTAAACTCCGTGTGCCAATAAAAATGAAGGCCATAGAGGGCACAAGGCACCAGGCACTTTCAGTTAGATTATGCATGGCAGTGCAAGTTTCAAAGTTCCGCAAAGGAAGCTACTTTGTTTTCTTGCAGCTGCTGCTGTACTTTAGTTCCTGACAGCTGTATTATTTTGAATTTACTGAAGTGATTCTGCATTTTTCCCTGCAGTATGTTTCGTCAAGGAATGCATGATTTGAAAGTCTGGCCCAACGTAGAAGCCGATGGCTCAGAGCCCACCAGAACTCCTGGGAGAACCAGCAGCACAGTTTCTGAAGATCAGATGAGCCGCTTGGCAAAGGTAATGGAATAGAGAGTAACCTTTAAGATGTATGGGAAAAGCTTGCCCTTCCACTGGAGTGAAATGAAGACAGGCTTCAATGAAGAGAGACTTCTCATGTTGTTTCTCATACAAAAGCTGTCGTCCTCTGATTGTTTAGATATTTCACAGGATTTATACAAATCGGTAAACTAGATCATACTCACTTGCTTCTGAAGTACTTTTTAAAAGGGCACATATAAATAAATACCTTTTAATATACATAGCATTCTGTTGTAACAACATCTTAGTTCTTTGTAAAGAATGAAAATGTGATCATGCCTTGAAGATGCTTGAAGCCAAAATTCTTCGTCAGGTTCAGTGACAGCAGTTCCTAACAGTAACTTGTGAGGACACTCTAATTTCTTTCAGTAGCCACCCTTTAGATTTAAGGCTGTCTGGTGTAGTGTTCAGATGTGTACAGCATACCTCCACGTTAGAAAGCATTTGAGTAGAACTGCAAAAATTAACCAAATTTTCATTCATTTATGCTCATGAATATGTGTGTATATTAGTATTCTCCTAGCTTGATGGCAGAGTGTTTTTTTGCCATCAAAATTACTTCTGGGATTGATCAGTAAATGTTAGTTCTTGAACTCTTCTACTAGCTGATCTCTCTCATTCTTCAGGTAACCTTACCCTGAGCTTGCCAGACTGCTCAGCCCTCTTACTCATAATATTCTTTAGTGTATTTTCTTAATCTTGATCTCCTGGTTTTCATCCTCACCTTTGTGCAACTCGCAGTGAAAGACACATTTAGTGCCCTAAATATATCCATTTTCTTATCTAGAGGTTTATCACAGCAATAAATTAATTTAGGGTCTGTCTTTTATTAGTCTTGTTCGGCTTGAATTTATAATGGAAAACTCAAAAGTTTTCTGCCAGTGGTGGTGCCTCATGTCTTGATCTTAGTAGAATACATCCCCTCTAGCCTAAGGAAGCTGTGTAGACAGACACTAAATATCAAGTGTTGTTTATAGTTCATCAGATGGTTACATGGTGTAGGCAGTGGGTTTCTGAGAAAGGATTATGTTTTTTTAATTTTATTTGATTTGATTTTTTTAGGGTGTGGGCCTTCCCTTTCATGTTGGTTCTGTTATGCAAACGTGACCATACCCTACCAGTGTTTTTTTTTTCTCCTCTTCCCTTCACTCCTGTATGCTCGCTAGCTCAAGAAATACAAATAATGTAGAGTATTTCAGTCTTAAAACACCTGGGTCTGTTCTAGCCTGTACCTTTGGCATATGGAAGATGAGGGTTCAAAGCTGCTGAGGAAGAGGAGGGAATTCTCACATCCCAGTTGAGAGTTCTAGTTCATGGCCAATAACAACACTGCCCCCATTCTTCTCTTCTGAAAGATGTTTTGGAAGATACTAATTTCTGAAAGATGGGAGTGTTTTCACTGATATTTTGTTGTGTTCATTTATAAAAACACTTTACCATCAGACGGTAGTGAAGTGAATAGGGTTTCTGGGTACTGTGTCTGTGACAGCTTTCATTTACACAGCTGTTTACACAGCAGATGAGGTTCTTGTGATTTATCATTCCTAAATAGCCATTGTTTGAGCACAGTCGGCTTCAGTTTTTCTATGATTTACTCATCAGTTGCTGATTGCCTCCTGATGCTACTGTATGTGAATATATACATAAATATGTATATATTTAAGTATAGGTAAAAGGAGTAGGAATAATTAAATACAAGATGACTTTGTGTGGACTTTGTTATTCTTAGTTTGGGTTGGGTTTTTTTCTGTTTATTAGAGAGACTTGCCATTTATAAGTGTCATGGTATTGACTGATGTCTGATACCAGAGGCCAAATTAGAGTATTGCAAATGATAAGTAACTTGAGGAGAGCTTGCTGAAGGACCCTTTCGCCATCTAAAAAAATAACTTTTTATTTTCTTGCCATGCTTCTGAGTAGGTGTGTGTGTATGTGTGTGTTATTTATTATTATAGGGAATTTGTGTAAAATAAAGACTGGCTGCTGGGAGTTTGCATCCTTTTGCCTTAAATAATGGATACTGTGGCAAGTCTCTCACTTCATGTTAAGGTGCCATGTGGTTGTGCTGTTATAAGACACTTGATTGTTGCTTGTGAAATTGCTGCTGATGAAAAAGACATGACTTTGCATCCTGGAGATCTTTGTGAATGCAGATTTTTCCTCTACTAAGGAATATTAATGGGAAGACTGGAATACCTTAGCATGCTCAAATATTAATAACATTAAGATGTTTCTCCCATGAGTGGTGTGTTAATTTATTCTACTTACAACAAAAAGTACTCAAGTTCTTTTTGATCCATTCATTTCCCTCACACCTGCTGGCTGAATGAAATGAAATAACAATGCTGAGATAGTATCTGAAGGGATGCCTCTTATTTAGGAGCAGTTGATGAATGCTTCTTTCCCTGAAGGGAATGCACTTCTCTCTTGTTTTAAGGTTTAAATATTAATCCAAGAGAATGGTGTATCGTATGTGTGTGTGTGTGTATATATATATATGTATATATATATACCTACAGTTCTTCTGGGTCTTGTGTGCAGGTCTAACTAGTTGCTGGATTATAACCTTTTTCCTTTCTATAAGGGAGTTTTGCAGGTTTAAGAGATTAATAATTTTCCTTTAAAAGAAGGAATGACTTTTTTCTTTAGTGCAGTGAACAAGAAAATGAACTAAGAATTTGTGACCAAGGTATCTAAGTAACATTTTTTTTGCCAAGGCTTTGATAAGCGCTATCTTAAATCTGTGTATCTGGGTGGGAATACAGGGTATTCTGAAAATTTTAGTGCCTTGGTTTAAGGTAGTGGCAATAAGAAGGCTACCTTGAGTCATAAAAAAAGTAGGGAGTAATTTAGAACTGGCTAAAATGGTGGAAATGTAAGAGTAAGGAATTCCTTCATTGCTGAGAATGAGAAGACCTTTCCTGTGAACTAGGTAGGACATCTGTGAATGCACGAGGTGATCATGTCCAGCCTGCCTGAAACAACCTTTTGGGTTATAACTGGTCTGCATGCTGCTGGTTCTCTACCTTTGAAATATGTTACAAAGTCACATATGAGGCAAAGGCCAAGTCTTGTATTATCCTGTTAGTACAGTCCTGTACACTCTGTCTCTGTAATATTGCTGAGATAGAATTTGATGAACTTGCTGCAGAATATAACATAAGACAGCAAAAAATTGTTACTATTTTGTGCTCCTGTTTAGAATCCTGCTGATAAGTTGAAAGACCCCAAAGATTGTTTTTTCGTGCTTTGGTTGCATCCAGCATTCTGAAACGTTATCAAGGATTATGCTTTGCCCCCCTGCCCTTCCTTTTCCCTTTGTACTGCTAAGTTTCTGAAGTTTGTTGAAGCTAATCTGAAGATCAGATGTCCCAGAGTTTACTGGAGACAAATGAAAAAAAGCTCCTACTATAATCTGAGATAAAATTAATTCATAGAAATTGCAGTATTCTTTCAAAGTCTTCATCAAGGTCTTATTACTCCTGTCAAGCTATACTGTGGTCTAGAGCTTAAAGAAATGTTAGGTGAGTCAGCTGCTTTAAGTAAACAAACTCATAATTGTTACAGGGATTATATTTTTGTGTTTCATGGAATGAGTTCAGAACCAAGGGCATCAGATGCTTATTGATAATTTACTATTTAGTGCTTCTTGAAATGGCCAGTTCCTAGCAAATCTGGAATAAAAAAAAAAGAAAGCAGTATTTTCCTCACAACTGAATAGCTTTTTGACTACTTTTAAAATTGTGACGGCTTTTCATTAGTCCTTTACTGTGGTAGAGCCCATAACTATGGTTGAGAACGGATATTCAGTGGAAAATTTTAAACATCTCTAGTAGGTTTAGTAGGAACGGAGATTCAGAAAAGCTGAATTAGATAACATTTTTGTGAAATGAGTGCATTCGGAGTTAAATGTCATGCTTGCTTTCATAAGTAATCTGCCTTAAAATTTAATTCGTATCTTGAGAGGACACAGAGGCCATGATGTGGGCTGTAGTGTATTCCAGCTCTTTCTGATATAAAGTGTTTCCAAGAAATCTAAATTAATTGCAAGTTTTGGTTCCTGTTTAGAGGTAGGAACCAGTATCCAAAGTGTTGTTAGACCATAACACCAGATTAAACTCTGGGGAGGTGAACAAGAGGGGAAATTAAAAAAAACAGTGAACTTGTCTTAAACAGCAGGAACTCACTCTGTGGAATGTGAACAAGCAAGATTGTCTGTTGTTGGATATGAAGGCGCAATTGATCAAGGTGTTAAGGATAAATACTTACCAGCTGGTCTTTGACGGATCAGTTCCACTGATACAAGAACACCTGCAAGGAGACAGGAAAACACTGAAATTTTATTTCGTTAATGGTTTTAATGGCTGTTTACAGTCTTTTGGAGACTAGACAATTATTTGCCCATTATGTCAGTCTTGCTTCCTTAGGTGTAAAAAAAGCCTATCTGAATCTGAAGCCCGCATAATTTCTGAATTCTTAAGAATTTTTCATGTCATAAACTCTCCAGGTCTGTCAGGAGCTGTACCTGGACATGAAATCGATGCTCTTTTCGGAGTACATTGTGATGGGGTTTGTAATTAGCTCAGGTCATCCTAAAAGAATGTCCAGTAGGATATCTGTGCAATAATACTTGTGCCCCTACTGCTAAGACATCAGTTTACTGGGGGTTTGAGTAAGAATAATGGGACAGTACTACTGGTCCAAATTCTTAACTGTTTTTCTTCACAGTTGTCATGGTTTGAGCCCACCCAGCACCAAAAATCTCACGCAGCTGCTTGCTCACCCCTACCCAGTCCTCTGAAGGATGGGGAGGAGAAAATACAACCACAAGGCTTGAGGGTCCAGACAGAGGACAGGGAGGGCTCACTCACCAGTTATGGTCACGGGCAAAGGACAGACTCGGCTTGGGGATAACAACAGACATTTAATACGAACAACCACCACCGTCAAGGATAAGGACAGATACAAGGATAAGGAGAGGTCTTAAATAC